TTAATACTATCCCCGGCGGCGAGGAGCAAGAGAATCTCGCTGGTCTCTACTACACGGTATATAACGGCCTAATTAGCACTTAGCTAGTCTTATATATATATAGCTATATAAGTCTTCTACGATCTAACGAGGCTCGTAGTTTTAACACGGGCGGCTATACTACCGGGCGTGTAATACTAACGCCGCGCGGCGGTAGAACCAGTAAGATTTTTATTTATAATATCTACTAATATTAGCGCGAAGGAAATTATATCGGACGAGAGACGTTCGGATAGGGCGACGAATGCAGCATCTACTTCGCAGCTCTTCTTAAGGGCTAGATAGGGTGCTTTCCCTACGGTTAGCTACGCCGTTATATTATCCAGGGCGCTTGCTAATAGCTATAGGCCACGTTTTTCACGAGCCGTGCGTCTTATAGTATAGCACTCCGGCTAATAGCTATCCTTATTCTAGGCAGCGGTATAGCAAGGACACGACACGGATAGTCGGCGCGATTAATCTTTAGTCCGGATGTAAGGGTATGCTACCGTACGCGGTAGAGAGGACGGGAGGCCTAGTGGCTAAAGACGCCGAAGCAGTAGATATAGCAGCGTAGTAGATAGCTATTAATAGCGCTAAATCTTTAACACGGACGGTCAGAAGTAGCTAGCTTCGTAGTAGGCCCCTTAAGGACGTCTATATAAAGCCTATAGTGCCCTAACGTAGACTAGAAGTGCTAATCCGAAAGACTATTATTATAGACTAGGCTATTTAAGATATTCTTAAAGTTCTATAACCTCGTTATTCTCCTCTTATCCTACTAGTGCTCTCGCGAAGGAGAGATTAAAAGTAAACATAAAAGTAAACAAAGGGACTTTTTATAGGTAGGTTCTTATATATAGTTAGGTGTCGGTAGGTCTTTATATAGTCCTACGTATAAATCGCAATAGTATATATAATCGTTATTCTTATTCTTCTCTAGGGAGGCAGAGGCTAGCGTAGAGATAAAGGGTACGCGAGCCTTAGCCGTATACGTAACCCTAAGGGTCACGTACTAGCTATATAATTAAGCTAGATATAATTAACGAGCACGATTCCTATATTAGGCGATATATATAATATATATGCTCCTTTTTTTTCTCTCTCCTCCCCCCTTACTATTTTTCCGTCTAAATAGTCTTTTTATATCCCTCGAACTTTCTCCTAAGTTAATACCCTATTTTTAGGTATAGTATATATTCTATTAGGAAGAGGGCACTTCTAGCTACTTACTAAAGGCCGCGTAAGTTATCTACGTTAGTAATATTAGCTCGATACTACGAGAGTACTTACGTAACTTCGTATAGGTAAATCGAGACTTAATAGTTACCTTTATAGAATATAGGCGGTAGAAAGCGACCTATATAGCTATAGTTAAGCAATCGAGATAGTAGAGTACTTCCTCTTTCGATATAAGGCATAGATCTCTAAAAGAGAAAGCATAATAAAATGCAATCGAACTAAGATAGGAAATCTATCTTTCTTCCTAGGAGGGAAGTCGATATCCGATAGCGATAAATAGAAGCCGAACCTACTAGTAGTACGCGCTACGATTAAATTCGCGATAGTAACCGGGAGACTAGACACGGACTAACGATAATAGTACTAGTAAACTAGAGTGTATAGTACTAGCACTATATAGCCTCTTATTAATAGACCGGGCTTTAGCTGCTAAGAATAGGATGCTAAATACTTAGAGAAATAGGCCTTTAAGTAGTCCTATTAACAGCGAAATTAGAGGCTAAAATGTATAGATAGGAGCAAAATATAGGGCTTCTAGGTATTATAGTCGAAAGTAGAGGATCTATAAATAGCTTAGTATCGCGGCCCTCTAGGGTTGGTCCCTCCGGGCGGAATAAATTGCATTGCATTGCATTAGCTCCCGTATATCAGCCGCCTATAGCAGGGAGGGTCTAACTTAGTAGCGCGACCACTGCTTTTGCCCTTCTAAGCTAAGACCCTTATAGAAGCTAAGAAATACCCGTTTTTGCTTAGCTACTACCTATACCACGCCCTATTTTAATTTAACGGGTATTCGAAGTACTTTATAAATTCGGCGAAAATAAATAGCACGAGTAGGTTACGGTTCGCTCTTTATATATATATCTTTATATATAAATAACTAGAGTATAGCTATAGTAGATATTTTAATATTTTAATCTGTCTTTGGTAGATAAAAAGCTACTTATAAACCCTGTCTATATCCTTTTATTATAGTTATTCTACTACCCTTTAGTCTAGGTATAGGGAAACCCCCGAGACAATCCTAGGGCCTACCCGTTAGTTAAAGGCAGGCGCGGCTAACTAACTTAACTGCCGTTAAGTTAGCCTAAAAAATCCGGGACAATCTTAGAATAGTAGAAATTATACTATAAAGGCTAGAATAGCCTCTACGCCGCCGAGTCTAAGCCCTATCTTAAAACTTACGAAGGGCATTTATTAACTAATAGGTGCCCCACGAAGATTATGCTCGTCCCTTAGTATACATCCGCCACGATCAGCCTAGGCTTGCGCGTCGATTCAGGGACTCAGCCTATATTGGCACGACGGCATCTAATCTAACAAATCGCCGACCAGGGCGTCGAAGGGCACAAGATAGTTCACGCTAGAAAGAGCCCGATAGCTAGCATAAAACTTAACGCAATATCGGCCCGGGTCGAGAGAGTTATAGTAAGAGCAGTTCAGCTAAGTTAAACGTTATATAGGTAGTACCGGTAACCTAATGTTTCCGGTGGGCCGGGCAGCACAATGCATTAAGGTTATAGCGGCGGCTATTATAAATGCTTAATAGCTGTCACGACCCTGCGCGCTAGCGTAGAGACACCAGCGCAGAACTTACCTTAGCAGAGCTCAGGCCATTGGTCGTAACTACGCTACCGGAGCGGACTATACCTAATCGGTAAGTTATATACGCTCCTCGACTAAATGGCCTAAGTGCCATGTCCTGGATTTTTGGCCTAAGTTAAGATCGTTTATATAGAAGTATACTAACCGCTTTAACTTCGTTTTCCTCTATAACTAGCTATCGTATATTAGAATTAATAGGCTTAATCGAATTCTCTATTCTTTCTTAATAGCCTAGTAAAATCCGGACGATGTTAGATTAAACGTCGCGCCGGCGCAGTATACGCCTAAACCCGACGACTCTAGGTAGAGGGGACGAACAGCGGCGGATTACTGCTTTAAATCACCCCGGCCGCCGTAGCAAACCCGTTAGATCTCGGGTATAAACGGCAGGAAAGCGAGTAAGTAATATATATAGATATATATCTAAAACGCACTACTTAACGCTAGCCGAGTTTATCTAAGTATATATAATAACCTAAGGCGATAACGGCTATAGAGATCGGCCTACTATATATGCTAAACGCTTTATAGATACGATATATACTTAGCTAGAGGTACTAAAGGCTATACGATAATATCCTACGTCTAGTATAGCCGGAATTATCTCTATAAAGGCGCTAAGAAAGGAAATAATAGCGCTAGAAGAAGCGGGCGAGATGTTTAGTGCCTATCGAGTCGACTCTAGGCCAGGGAATGCCCTATAGTCTAATTCTAGATAAAAGGAGCAGCCTAAAGATAAAGAAGAATCCGAGGCCTATAAGTATATACTTAGCGATATATACCTTAAGGATATATATAAGCAAGTTAATACGCGGGCTCCTCTCCTCTTTAGGCTGCTTAATAGTCTTATAGCGCTTAAAGTAGAGAGAAAGGATCGACTACCACGAGATCCTTTAAAGTTTAACTATAGGATTGCAATAATTACGTCGATCCTCTACTATTCTCGAGCCTCTAAAGGAAGCAATAAGTTCCCCCGCGTATTCGGTACCTTTCTATACTTAAACGGCGTAAAACGATATATTCTCGATCTACTTTACTAGTTTAGGCTTTATAAAGGCTATAAGGGGGTCTATAGGCATCTCGAATCTATAGTAGAATAAGTAAAGGCATTATTACCGTCTCTAAGTATAGACGTTATCGACTAATTTATACGTAGGGGATAGTCCGTCGATATAGCCGATAGCTAGACGCTTATATTATATATAATAATTTCGACTACTAGGAAGGTATTAAGTATTAACTTATTTTAAACTATATAGAAATACGCTCTATAATAACGGGAAAGGTTTTTAGAGGCGCCGATATCCCTCTAAGTAAATTAAAGAGGTCTATACTATATCGCGAGGTTCCTCTTATAATAGAAGATCTACTATACTCTCTAGGTATAGCAGTATACGACCAGACTACCGCCGCGATTAACACCTACTTTATAGCGGAGGCAATTCGAACGGCGTATCCGAAGTCGGTTAAATCTATCTTCTCTAATTCCGATATCCTATACCCCGGTATACTAATAATCGAGTCGCTCGAGCTTCGAAAGACAGACAGCAAGACACTTAGCCCGATTCTCTTTAACGAAGGTACTCTAGATAGCTCCTACGAGGTTATAGAGAGCATCTATAAGCGATAGTTCTAACTAGCCGATATAGAATTTAATACCCGTCTATTCTTAGCGTTTAGCGATTAAAAAACTTCTTTACTTATCGGGTCTATGCAAGCTAAATAAGTAGACGCGTCTACGGCGTACGATAGAAAGGACTAGTTAATAGGAGTCGCTGCTCTGTTTTACTTACGCATAAACTTCCTCTAGCTTATGCAGAGGACATATTATAGAAATATAGAGCAATAAGACGCTTCAACACTCTACCACAACATCAACTTCTAGGGGCGTGTTGCATTCAGGATACGTACCCTTTGCACTTAACACATCACGGATCCTATAACAGGACTATTCCCCTTTGTTTAAAGCCACTACCCCTTTTCTTATGCATATCTGCAATCTGTCCTTATTAGTTTATGCGTCGTTCCCTGAACTCTTCTACTCTCCTTGATCATAAATAGGGTTCTGGCTCACTCCTTCTTAGATAGAACAGACGAATCTCGAAGTATATGTTGACCCTTACCTTTCCAAATTACTACCCTGCGAGAGTAAGTCTCCGATGGACTGGATGCGCTGACAGACTCATAGTACGGTCGTGGTTGTGTTGGCTATACTGAGGGTCGGCAAATGCCCGCAGAGTCCACAGGTAGTCGTTCTGCTCCAGGGCCTCCGCAATAACCCTCCACTTACAACCACACTTGCGCGACCGCCTTTGGCGGAGACCTGCGCCCCTTGGTGTGCGAGGCTCGCCGTATCGATCGCACTGAAACACATATCTGGTCTTCCGCAGTTGGCTGCCGGAACCGTTATGCCTTACAACGCCAAATCCATTATCTTTCGCGAACTCGTTGATGGAGGATTGAAGGGCATCGACCGATACCATGGCAGGGCCAGGGATTGGCGGGTTGGGGATAGGTATCGAGGCGCCGTGACCGCTGGACCCTGTGTCGGACAGACCGGCCCATTCCTCGTATTCCTCTTGCTCCCGGCTTGGCGACGGCGAGGGTGACACTGGTGAGACCGACGGTGGTGGTGGGTCTCGGGCGCCTCGAGCAACCCGCTGCGTAGCAGGTGCCAGGCAGTGTTGAGCCAGTTCCAGAGCTAGTGCATTGTCCAACTTGGCTTGCTCTTGGGCAAAATCCAAGGCGGATCGAAAACGGACCGTGCTTCTCGCGTGCTGCTCATCTGAATTTGCCTGCTCGCGTAAGCGGACTCTCTCAAGCTTGTCGGGGCCCGGAACGAAAGAGGTGAACAACCGCCGGGCGCCATGGCCGCGGAACCAGTCGTCTAGGAAGATTTGTTACTGCCGCAATTCCCAATAGGGCTCATCAATTCCGCGATTACCATGTGGTTTAGGAAGGCTGCTGAAATAGTTCTCTGGCCATGTCGCAAACATGTTGTATAAGGCGTTGTCGTCGCCATCGCCGTAGTGAAGTTCGGGGTCAAACGCAGAGTGGGGAGGGAGTGTGGTAGCGGTCATGTCGTTGCCAAAATGGATTTCGTGCTGGGAAATGGACGCTGTACTTTACCGGCTAAGGTAGATATGTTGGTGTCGGCAGAAAATGCGAAATGCTACAGTACAGATGCCGACGGCGATGCCACGCGGGCGCCAAACTGTCGATGGCTTCAGCGATTAACGTACCTCACTGAGTCATGCAACGCACCACGTCATGCAACAAATTGCCCGACCGGCAAGCCAGAGCGAAAATTAATCCTATAACCGACACAACCATTTAAAATACTATTAAACATTATAATTATATAAAACACTTTATATAGAGTCTATCTATATAATGGTTTTCTTAGGAAATATGAGCAGGCGGTCTTGTAGTCCGCCTAGACCTAAGAGACTGAGAAACCGGCCTCTATACTTCCCTGCGCTTCCGTCGAACGGGAGGTATGTCTTTTACCCCTAAAGCTCCGGGACTATAGTCTCGAGCCACTAAAGCTTTAGAACTAATCTTTACCCTTTCTTCCTCCGAGTTATTGCGTGGTTGAATGCCTATCGCGTAAACCCGCTTCTAACGCCCCTCGTTTTTCTTACCGCTACTATATCTTTTATGCCCTCTTACACTAGGCTTTAACGTAGTAGCTACCTTAAACTTAACTTCCCGAATAGCCTAGCGCTTAGCCTCACGTGTAGACCTCTCTGCTTTTAATTTTGCTGCGGCCTCCCGTTTCTTAGCTCGCTTTACCTCGCGCTCCGTAGCACGCTCTATCTTCTCTCGAGAACGCTGCTCTCGCAAGGCCTGACGCATTATAGCCCGCTGTTTTTTCTTCTCGGCAGATTCTCGAGCCTTTTCTTTACGTAATATAGCTACCTAGAGTCGACGATCTTTAATAGCTTGCTTGCGCTGCTCGTCGGCCTATGCCTTATCCGTCTAACGTCGCCGCGCTAGTTCTACCTTAGCTAGACTAAAAAAGACCGGCTAGCCTCTACTTTCTTCTAGATTAAAAAGGCCTAAGGCCTTTCTACGTTTCCCTTTTTTATATATAAGTTTAAGCGCTTCCTATAGATCTCGATTTTCGTATTATACGAGCTTATATTATATCGCTAGTTTCTAATGCTCGGGAGAGCGCTGTAACTCGGGAGTCTATTAGCCCTTCCTTGCGGAGACGGCGGGTAATGCGCCGAATAGCCCGAAGAGAGCCTAGAGTCTTTATCGCCCTTTCCTTAGATATAGTTTATAGGGGTGTTATATCACTGCTATGGCTAATCTTAGATAATACTTTGCCGGGGTCGAGTAGGTGGATTCTTATAGCCCGCTAACTAGCCTCGATATTTTTAGCCGTAAATGCCTAGTTCTACGTATTATAAAAGAGTGGCTAAAAGTTCCGTTTAGTAAGGCGAATTAACCCCTATCTAATAGACACTAGCTGCTCGGAACCTTAAGTATAATAGGTAGAGAGTGCGGAAAATAGGTTAACATCGAGTGGTTAAAGCCGATAAGTTAAGTGCGATAGCAATATAGCAATAAGGATTCGATTCCGATCGGCATAGTTAATAAATTTTAGGTTAATATAACTATTATAACCGTCTAAAATTAAGAGACGGTAGGCACGACCAGCCTTTTGCTTCGTATAGCAGTTAAATATGCGCTAAAGCTCTCACGAAGAAAGCAGGGCAAAGGGCATAATTATTTTAGGGTGCATGTGTGTTCCTTCTTCCTTTCTGTTATAGGCCCTTTATTTATCCCCTTATCCTGCTTCTTCCTCCGTCTTCCATCTTCTTCCTTGCGGACTTACTAATCCATAGGCACCCATCTCTCCGCGTCAGCGTGCCACGTCCTCCCCGTTTCATCCTATCTCGCCCCTACACCTTTAGCTAGCTATCAGGCTTCAGGACCGAGTCTTAGACCCTTCTTCTCGACACAGGCATGCTGTGAGTAGCCTGCAACAATATAAAAGGCAACAAGTTTTTCAAGGCCGGTTTTGACACGCGTCTGATTACGCTTATGAAGCCTGGCTTATGTCAGGCTTTGCACGAGTTTAGAGGTGATAAGGTACGAATAAATACCCACTGAATACTGCAACATTACGTCGAAGATAATACGGCTTTCCTTACACTTCATCCGGTTTTCGTGTGCCCGGCTTGTGGGCTATGTTAGGGACAAGGCGTTCTTCTCTCGCGAAGGAGAGAGCAAAAGTGGGCATAGAAGTGGATAAAGGGACTTTTCGAAGGTCGAGTATCATATGATCAGGTGGTATGCGAGAATGCATATGTTGATTGCTCTGTTCGGTTGCCCTATATCCGTCTAACCCTCCCCCTTTATATCCCTCTGTGCCTTCCCTATATTCATATCCCGTGTTCAGGTAGAATATACATTCTATCAGGAAGAGGGCACTTCTTGCCTCTTACTGAAGGCCGCGTAAGTCATCTACGTCAGCACATTTAGCTCGATCTCCCCGATCAATAGCTTTCTAAGCTATTAGGTCGATAGTTTAGTCTCTTGAGGTCCCCGAGCTAGTAAGAGATATACCGGACTCCTCAGAAGGTCCCTATTCGGATAGGAGATCCTCCGGACCCCTCAGTGGTCTAGGAAGAAGAAATAACAGTCTGCAGACCTCCCTTCTTACCTGGTTTTAAGCTGTATTACCTAGAGAGACCTAGAGACCTCAACTCGTTCGGACCTTCTTCTCGACAACGTCTTGCCTCTTACTGAAGGCCGCGTAAGTCATCTACGTAAGCACTTTCAGCTCGATCTCCCCGATCAATAGCTTTCCAAGCTATTAGGTCGATAGTTCAGTCTCTTAAGGTCCCCGAGCTAGTAAGGGATATACCGGACTCCTAAAAAGGTCCCCGTTCGAATAGGTGATCCTCCGGACCCCTCAGTGGTCTAGGAAGAAGAGATAACAGTCTGCAGACCTCCCTTCTTACCTGGTTTCAAGCTGTATTACCTAGAGATACCTAGAGACCTCAACTCGTTCGGACCTTCTTCTCGACACCCGGACCTGTGACACCAATGAGTCGAGTTTCTTTTGGTACCAACCTTCGTATATTTTTATCGATATAGATAAGCTTAACAATAAGTATGCCCATATCAATCAATATATATTGATTACTGAAATGTCTGGAGCTGAGCTGTCTCGATGGTTCTTGCATCTCCTGGCCGACCGTGGTGTCTCCGTTTCACATTTCGCCGATGAAACCATCACAGATCTTGCCCCACGCGATTCAGCGTGCCGAGTTATCCAGCAGCCACCAATCGCTAGCGGTGCAGATGGAGGAGTCCAAGTTCAGGGTGTCTGCTGTCACGCTAGCGGCGTCAACGGCGCGATTCGCATCCGTTTGCCGGGTCTGTCCGCTCGATCGCCTGCTGAGCTTGTTTCTAGGACGCTGCAATGGCCACCTCGACTGAGCACACTGGTTTACCTCGGTCCCTAACGAGGTGGGGCCTACTAAAACCTTGACTATATATAGGAGATCTGACAGTGCTACTCCCTGAGCGAGAATCTAGGCCCTAGCGAAACGTGGTGTTTCCTGGAAACATGGGCGGAAACATAGCGGAGAGCCGCCATGATGCCATTATTCGGAGGTTTAATACACTGCTAACCATGTCCGCCGCAGAATACATAATTCGGGATGATATACTCCCGGCCGTTAGGCGTATAAGGCAGACCGGCTATAGGTTGAGATTGACCGTCTAAGTCAGACTTGGACAGCCGACGGCCAGGAGGGCTTTAGGCCCGCGCGGCCTTCTGATTTAGGCCTCTGCTTGCTCTTAGCGATGGGACTGACTTAGGCGAGTGAGGCGTGACATGCTAGACAGCAGCTGGTTTGATCCCGCGACGTGCTAAACGCGAGGGGTATATAGAACCGTGCTATAGATCATAAGGGCACTTTTGAGTTAGAGCAGAGTGCAACCCGGAACTGCCAAAGATATATAAAGACAATCCATTGTTCCCTTAAGTGATCTAAAATTAAACACCAGTGCGCCAACAAAACACATTCACCTACCTAAAAGCCTTCTAAGTTTCTTTCTTTAAGTTAGTTTAGCCGGCCTTAACTGCACTACTTGCCACTTCCCACCAACCTCCTTTGTTGCCTCATACCATAACTCGACCCTTATCCGTCGCATTACTTTCCTAGTAGTTAAATCATTCAAAATAGTCCGCTTCACTATGACTATCTTGGCTCGTACGTTGCAACTACCCTTTCCCGCTTGCGCGTAGTCACCCTGCTAATCCTGCAACTAGTTAGCGTGTCTGCCCTGGCGGCGACTACGTTCAACCGGCGCGAGATTGACGTCCGAGCCGAGCCTAAGATGCTAGGCAGGGCCATTCCGGAAATGACCCTGCATAGTAGGCAGGATAAGCCGTAGGACCCACCTGGTGTTGCGGATATGAAGAAGCAAAGGGATGCGATTTCGCCTCCGCTTACGCAGGCCAAGCAGGACCTCAAGGCTGCAAAGGACAGCATGCCTCAGGACGTCAAGGACAAGATCAAGGCGGCTCAGACAAAGGTCAAGGACACATTCAATGGTCTGCCCCAGGACCAGAAGGACAAGCTGAAGGACATGAATAAGCAAATCCGAGACGCGAAGAAGTCAGCAGGCCCTGCCCCACCCCTGGCCCAGGCCCCGGCCCCGGCCCCACCCAAATAAGAGGATGTCAGACAGATACGGCCCAGTGCCAGTGTGGCTAACAAACCGACAGACCTAGACCGGCCCCTTCGGTCTGTCGGTCTGGCTTTGCCGTGGCTGTCGGTCTGTCGGTCTAGGTCTGTCTGGGTTGGAGGGCCGGTCGGTCTGATGGTCTGATGATCTGGCTGACTGATTCCGTGGTGCTACGGTAAGGGGTACGGTACCGGTAGCTGAAGGTGTAGGGACGAGACAGGATGAAACCGGGAGGACGTGACACGCTGACACGGAGAGATGGGTGCCTATGGATTAGTAAGTCCGCAAGGAAGAAGATGGAAGACGGAGGAAGAAGCAGGGCATTGGGATAAATAAAGGGCCTATGACAGAAAGGAAGAATGAACACACATGCACCCCAAAAATTATGCCCTTTGCCCTGCTTTCTTCGTGAGACTAGGCAGACCGGCGGAGCTTTTCTCACCCCGCTAGCCTCTTGGCGTTTTACCATCCCAACTATGGGCCGAAGTCTTAGCTAGGCGACGTTGTCAAACACATACTGTCGAGAAGAAGGGTTTAAGACTTGGTCCTGAAGCCTGATAGCTAGCTGAAGGTGTAGGAACGAGACAGGATGAAAGGGGGATGACGTGGCAAGCTGACGCGGAGAGAGGGTGCCTATGCATTAGTATGTCAGCAAGGAAGGAGATGGAAGACTAAAGAAGAGAGGGCAACGGCATAAATGGGAGAATGGTACAGCAGCCAGGGAGAAAAAAAAAGGACATGATGCCCCTTGCCCTGCTCTCTTCGTGAGACATACTGAGTAACTCGGTAGTATTGCTCCTTTGGTGCGACTAGTTCATTCGACATGTGCTGCACCGGCTTCTGAAAAACTGGGACCCGGTTGAAGGGACGCGCTGCAAACAAACCCCTAGTCATTCATCGTGATTCAGACACCAGACGAGACTCGGCACCCGGGCACAATCACTAGAGTTATAACGGTTTGACAATACAGCCGACAAATCCTTAGGAGATTCTGACTCTAACACCTGAAAGCCGAATACATTTAAAAGCCTTCAAGTTAAAGTGACGCTACTTAGATATGGAGAAAGGGGGGGGGAGGGAGAGAGGGGGCGATGGAGTTTACTAGTCATTCAATATGTGCTGCACTGGTCGTTTGTGGTAGAGATGACTCGATTCAGCCATGTCTGGGTGGCTACACCATTGCCGCGACAGTGAGAGGCAACCCAATTTTACGCACGGCAGGGAAGGATTGCTTGGATGGCGAGAGCTGCAGAGCGAGGGACGAGGGCTACAGGCAACAAACGTACAAGGAGGCCCAGGCGACCACTGAGTCATTGGCATTTGGCATCATCCCACGGAATTAGGACACCGTACATCGGCCTGGAGCTGCTGACTTCCTCTATCCTCGTCCTCCTCCAGCCGCCAAAGACACAACAAAAGCTAATATGACTCCCACCACAGCACCGCTCTCCCCACAAGTCAAAGGTAACGGATAGGTTTAAGGCTACAAAAAGTACGCTGCACACCGCACGATGTTTTAAGAACTGAACAGTATTTAAGCCGAAGATCCCCTAAGCTCGAGAAATAAACAGCTCTTAATTTAAATCCGGGGTAAGCTACCGTAAGCTTCAAGAGCATGTGGACTATTGCCTATTCTGGGCAGTGGCGGTGAGCGTCTCGAATAAGCCACCAGCTGATCTTGACAGGCTAGGACGCAGCGGGTTGCAACCACTCGCGCCAATTTAAAGCCCTTTTAACGTTGATACATCTAAATAGGTTTTGCGTAGGGGTGGCGGCCCGAGAAACCGAGCAAAAGAGCCGCCGGAATGGTACTGTTGCAGAGTCTCCCAGCGTTTGCATCTATCACGGCGATCATCTTACACCACAGCTGTCGCAGCTGCTCGCCAAACAAGTCAACAGCTGACAGGGCTGAGTCTGCCTGAGCATGTTACGTGTACCCATGCCCCACCCCCCTGGAGTTTGAAGGCGGAGAACGGTAGCGCAATTAAGAAAACCCTCACCAAAAACCATCAATTTCACTTACACCGATTCCAGCCAGCTTTAAAGATATTCACAAGCCGTCACTTGAGTAGATAGAGGATTGACTGAATTCTACTTTTTAATTGTTAAATGTTTATATAGGGGTCTATGGCCTATGCGTACCTTGCACGCGAAATTACGATCTAGCCCCCTAATCTCCCTCTGCCTCCTGACGATGATTCTTCTCGTGATTCCTCCACCACCGGGCCAAAATGACCTCAAAGTAGCCTCGACGTGTCTATACGGAGGATTAAATGGCAAATGCTATATCGGACATCACAAAAAATAGCTTATCGCAGTATCGCGCTGCCTAAAAGTACGACATACCTCAGCAGTCTCCGGGAGGGGATGGCTAACCACCCCTGTAACTTCCGGTAGCTGCACGGTGCGGGGGTACCCCGCATATGGCTGTTGTCCTTCCCCTTCTTAGGTATCCCTTGGTCCCTTAAGGGATTTACCGGTGATCTGCCGGATCCCGTGACCCGCCGGACTTACACCGACATTCTAGGGTGTCCTATTCGAATGTACGAGAGCCAAGATTAGGAATTTGTCTTTCTTCTTAGGAGGAAAAGCTACATCGGATGGCGATAAGTAGAAGCTAGACATATAGGCGGTTTATGCGGCGATTAAATTCGCGATTAAGACGGAACGGCTCGATAGAAAGCCGTAACTATTAGAAGATAACTAAGCTCTAATAAGCAACTGCACTAAGTTACTAATATATCTCAGCTTCGGAACTAGCAGACCGCGCTTTAGCTGCTATAAATAGGATGCTAAACACTTAGAGAATTCGGCCTTTAAGCAGGCCTATTATAGGACTAATAATAACAAGGCTAACTAGTAAACGATAAGACGATAATCTATTAAGCTTAGGGAGTTAAGGAATAAACGTGCTAAACTATACTCTAGACTATATAAAGGCCTTATAGGGACCTCCCTCTAGGCGAAATAAATCCTACCTACCTACCTACCGATATTCTAGACCTACCTACCTACCGATATTACGGGGAGAGCGAACCTAGATTAAAAGCTTAGAAGCTTAAATTATTATCTCTCTATTAAATCGGAAAAGCTATATAGTAGTCGAGTTAGCAGCATAAGCATACTAGTAAATGCGGGGCCTAGGGTAGGGCCGCGCGGCCCCTTATTATCGCCGACTAGAAGTAGAATCGTAAAACGTAAGCTACTTAATAGGACTATAAAAGAGTTAAATAAAAGCAGCTAATATACGATAAGAGCGATAAGAAAGGAAATAGGTAAAATTAAATACGCGAGACTACTAGGAAATAAAAATATTAATAGTAGTTAAGAAGAAGTAGTAATAATTAAGAAGGTTTAGGAGCTACTAAACGAGTATCGTATAGAATTCTAAGGATTAAAAGAGATACTTAGAGAGTAAAATAAGATTATCTATAAGTAGTAAGAGATAATCCGAAAATAGAAAGAAGAAATAGAAAAGCAAGGAACTATTAGCTAAGAGCTTAGTATTTATCTAGAAGATATAAAGTAGTAGATAAACGACTAACTTAAGTAGGTCCGAAAGTAACTTAAAGCTATCGCCGTTAGTATAGCGGTTACCCCGCTTAAAACGTTCGCTAAGGTCGCGCGATTATCGCCGTCGCTATAATAGAGCATTGCCCTATTACTCTCGCCTAGTAATACTATAGAACCTACCGCGAACGAGTTTTTCTATATAATTAATATATCCTAAGTAGAGGAATAGGATAGAGGCCGAGTATAGATAGGCTCGATTTAGTAAGCTATTAAAAATAAGGTTAGAATAAAGGAAGGTTAGGTAAACTAAAAGTATATAGTAGTTATAAGGAACTCTCGAAATATAAAGTAAGTTAAGGTTATTTATAGAGATAAAATCGAGCTATAATAAATTAAGGAAGCTACGTAGAAAACGGCGGTAACTAGAGCTTAAGTAATAAGAGATTAGCTTTACCTAGTTAAAGTTAATAATATTAATTATACTACGATCCTCGATAAAGAAGGTAGTATCCTATAAGGTATAGCTAAGGCTCTTAGTATCGAAAATAATATCTTAATTAGTAAGATTACCTAGCTAAGTAATAAAGAAACGAGTAAAGTATATAGGTCTATAGTAGTCTATATAACGAAAAAGAATAATATAAAGAAGCTTTTAGATAGTAAGTACTTCGATCTAGCTAAAGAGTTAGCGTATATTAATCCCTTCGAACCCTATAAGGGACCGATATAGTACTTTAACTATTAAGATATAAGCTATAAAGCCTTTAAGTATAGTAAGCCTTAGGTATATAGAAGGTATACTAGTATAGGTTATTACTATAAGGAGTGCTATATAATAGAGCCTAGATACGTCTTATGCGGCGGACTATATAAGTCGTTTAGCTAGAACTACCGCGTACGAAATATCTACTTTAATATATAAGACACTAAGTATTCTATAGCTTAATATACGAAAACGGGAACTAGTATAGTAGAGTTTAATAAATAATAAAGACCTTAAGGATTACGGAGTACTAGCGGTCTCTAAACTATATACTAGGATAATCGATAGTAAGGTAGTAATAAGCCCTAGGATATATAGTAACTAAACGAGAATATTACTAACGTATATAAGCGACGGCCCTTAGCCGATCTATAGTATAGTTTAGGTATAAGATAACGTTAAAGTAGTATAGATACTAATACTATTAGCGGATCTTATAGTAGCGGTACTTTAACTACTAAAGAGGAGCGTCTTAGTAGTATCGGTCTATATAAAAGGGTAAAGTATAGAAGCGCTAAAAAGCACTACTAGGCTATTATATAACTTAATCTAAAGATTCCGTTAAGGCTTTAGTATACGTATAGATATAGTATTAGCTAGAGACTTTAACTCTTATAACTTACTTTAGGGAGGAGACGATGTTTCGGTTTAAAGATAAGGAGAAGTAAGGCCGATTATTAATTTAATAAATAAGTATAGCCTTAGGAGCTTG